CGCCTAAATCCCTCTTTCGAGTGTCGAAATTGACTTGTATCTAATCATTTAATTAATGACCAATTAATTGAAAATATTAAATCAATAACAAAAATAAAAGGAAAGGAAAATTTTATAGAAATAACTAAAACAAAATCAAATCATATCATCAAGTTTGGCTAATCAAACCCTAGAAGAATTATTTAATTCATGATATGAGACATGAAATCTATACAATTCATAAACAATGACATGAAGACAAGAAAGATAAAACTATTTTTTGGATGATTGAATCAATCTTCTTCAGCAAGTTGTATTTGCTTCCTTCTTGATTTCTTGAATCTTGCCCCCTTCAATTCTCTCTAAAAAGTGGAATTTAGGTTTTTATTTATAGTATCTTGAAATCTTGGAAATGTTGAAGTCGGAATGAGCCAAGAAAAGAGTCCAAAAAAAAAAAAAAATCAGAAATTCATTTCTGCATGGCAACGCCTCGACACTGGCATCTCAGCGCCGCGGCTCCACGACTCTTCTTCCAGTGGCGCTGCGGCACCACACGTTATGCTTCTATTTTTTCGGGTGGGACATCGTAGCACCCAAGAGCTAGCGCTGTAGCACCCAACTCTCTGTTGGTTTCTGACTTTCTCTTGGAAACCTAGGCACCCAATGCTTCCTTCACTTTTGGCTTCATTTTCTACTTTTTTTTTTCTTTTCTTTTCTTTCATCTCCACTCCATGCCCACTTTCATGATCAACAATTTAACTCCATTCCAAGCTCCAAAATACGCCATTTTCACAAAGTTACTTAAACTAAAAAACAACACGAACAGACACATCAAAATGCTCAAAAGTGCTCAATAATTTAACTCCATTCCAAGCTCCAAAATAAGCCATTTTCATCAAGCTACTTAAACTACAAAACAGTATGAACAAACACATCAAAACGCTCAAAAGTGTTCAAGAACAAACCGAGAACTATGCTTTAAATGTGCTAATTCAATGAGTGAAATACACTCATCAAATACCCCCAAACTTAATTCTTTGCTTGTCCTTGAGCAAATACAACACAACATAATAATATAATTAACAAAGGCACAATTAAAACATACAAATAAAGGATTCACTTCAGACGATTTAGTTGGATAGCTTGTCTTTATGGCTCAAAATAGAAAACATGATATCTAATTCATGAACTACTACAAAGTTATAATGCAAAGCCAAATCCTTACCTTTCCAATGCAAAATGGGTGTGTTGGTGTGTGTATGAAGAATCAAATACAAAGTTTTACAATCATAAGTTAATTCAATTTCAGACCTTAAAAGTCAAATATTTCTTTTTTCCGCTCGTGGGGTTCACATAACCCAAACTTAATTCCTTTCCATTCTCTTCCCAATGGTGTATTTTGAGGTTATTCTTCATTTCACTACTCCTTACCCTTTCCAATTTGATCAAGTTTTTACCCATTGTAGTTTAACACATCAATAAATGAAGATTCTCATTAATTTTGATTATTTAACCCCTAGGAGTCAACCAAGATACTAACCCCTTATCAAATGCATAATTCTCTAAAACAAGTGCTTGGGGCTTAATCAAGGCGTATAGTGCATCTTCTATTTCATGCACCTGCTTTTTCAGATTTTTATATATATATA